GGCGGGCGTCGAAGTATTGCTTTACCGTGCTCTGCAGCTGGTCTTGCTGTGCCCCTCATTGAGCGTTCTCTGGCACCATATGCCTTGTGGGTCTCGGGAGTTTTCAGTGCAAGCTCTTCTGGCTGTGAATGGCAGGTGCACATCTTGATTTAGCAGTAACATCTTACTAGTAAGCTTGATTCACACCAGTATTTAGCTTATTGCAATCAAAACCCTTGTTAATAATTACTTAGCAAGACAGTCCTCAGGCAACTGCCCTCTTCATAGCTTCCTAAAATGTTTTTTCTTGGGTGAACAAAAAAGTGTATTTGCAGATGCTGAGAAGTATTGCTTAGTGGTCTCGTTTAACTGGTTAATTTTTCATAATGACATAATGCCTTTTACTTAACTGTTTTGATTCTTGCAGTTGATTCTTCGGGGAGCTCACCTCAAAGTATAACTTAAAAAAGCTTTGCAAATAGTGGAAGAAAATGTCACATAAAAGCTCTAAGGAAATCGGGAAAGTAAACATTTCTAGCTCCTTGGAGTCTGAAGATATTAGCTTAGAAACCACAATACCAACCGATGATGTTTCTTCCTCTGAAGAGAGAGAAGGTACTGTTAAAATCACAAAGCAGCTGATTGAACGGAAAGAGTTACTTCATAATCTTCAGCTGCTTAAAATAGAATTATCTCAGAAAAACTTGATGATTGATAACTTGAAAGTAGAATATTTGACCAAGGTAAGAAATGTTGCTTCTTTTGTCATATAATCTTTTCTTGTTTCTGATCCTTTTATAGTATGGTAGAAACTTCCATTCTGAAAAGAAATTCTGTGAATTGCATACTGGAAGCCTACTCTAGCTTTTTTTTTTTAACAAGAAAAGATGGAAACAAACATACGTAAAACTTAGCTGATCTGTCCAAGGCATTATACCTGTAAATGGATGAGGAGGATCTAATTAGTTTTTCCTTTTTCAAAAAACAAAGGGAAAAGACCTGTATTTCTCTACAAATTATGAATAATTTTGTTACTGATGTAAGCAACTTAATAGAGCTTTTAACCTGAACTTCTGGAACACTAGAAAAAGTCATCTGAATGCTATTCAATAATCTATTAATGAAGATGTGGCTACAATATACCAACATGCTAATAGTAGGAGATTTTGTTGTGTACGGTTTCCACTAAGATGCATTAAATTAGGAAAGGTGTAAAAGCTTTGCCATGTTTGTGTGCAGTCAATGTTTACAACTTAACTATATACTAACTGTGGCTTTCACTGGCTTGCTGTTTTGAGTTTAAGCCTAGTTTGAAATCAGCTGAACAAATAGCTATTTGGCTGAAAAAGATCAATTGTAGAACTAAGTCTTTTTTTTATTTTTGAGTTATTTAGGGCAAATTCTATATTGTATTTTATGAAGCCTTGATGTATTTAGAGGTCTTGTTAGACAGTCATTATTGTACTTCCCAGCGTATTAGGTTCTCTACTTTTTTCTTTCAAGTTGTTTTTTGTCAAATATGTTTTAAAAATTACCAAGGTAACTTCTTTTCTTCATTTGATATATATGTTCTTTATCTTTAGATTGAAGAGCTAGAAGAGAAGCTTAATGATGCAATCCATCAAAAGCAGGTGTTGTCTTTACGACTGGATAGTCAGCTGGCATTACAGCAAGAAGATGCTAGGTATGATGGAATTAAAACAAAAAAACTTCATCTTTAATAACGTATTAATATGGTTTCAAATTAATTCATGGTCAGTTAATGGAAAGTGCTGATTTTGAATTGCAGGAATAGGATATCTTTTGCAGATTATATTAGTATTCCCGTTCTGAAAATGCAATTTACATGCTGAATTTTCGTATAAGTAAATTTGAATTCAGCTCTCACTGGCTGAAGTTTGTGAGTTTGGTTTTATTGTTATGTGCCTTCAAAATTCAATAGGAACTTGGAATAAGGATGTTCTTAAAACCAGTAAAGAGCAAAAAGAATAGGTAGAGGGGGCAGACTCTCCATCAATTCAAACTGAATTTTTAATAAGTCTGCAGCCTGGATGACTTGGGAAAGGTAGGGGGATAATGTCTGTCATTCTGTATGTTTATTTGCACCAGAGTGGAATATTTTTATGTTGGCCATACTTGAATTGTCTGAGGAGTGTTCACTGATGTGCAAATTATTATTAGTAGGCATAAAAAAGTTCAACTACTTTCCTTGCCCCAGTCTTTTCATTAGTTTTCCTGTCTGTCTGTTATCTTACTTTTCATCCCCATTTACCAGAATCATAGAGGCATTTACGTTGGAAAAGACCTTTAAGATCATCCAGTCCAACCATTAACCTAACATTACCAAGTCCACCACTAAACCAGTTAAGGGTAGAGCAGCAATTTCATGTTTCCTGGCTTGGTGGCTGGATTGTTTTTTAATGAAAGTAAAACTAGGAATCACTAAGGTTGGAAAGAACCTCTAAGATCATCAGTCCAATCATCAACCCAACACCACCATGCCTACTAAACCATGTCCCAAAGTGCCACATCTACCTGTTTTTTAAACACCTCCAGGGATGGTGACTCCACCACCTCTCTGGGCAGCCTGTTCCAATGCTTGAGTACTCTTTCCATGAAGAAATTTTTCCTAATATCCAACCTAAACCTCCCCTGACACAACTTGAGGCCATTTCTTCTCGTCCTATCACTAACTAGTTGGGAGAAGAGACCAACACCCACCTTACTACAACCTCCTTTCAGGTATTTGTAGAGAGCGATAAGGTCTCTCCTCAGTCTCCTCCAGGCTAAATAATCCTAGTTCCCTGAGCTGCTCTTCATAAGACTTGTTTTCTAGACCCTTCACCAGCTTCGTTGCCCTTCTCTGGACACACTCCAGCACCTCAATGTCTTTCTTGTAGTGAGGGGCCCAAAACTGGGGCCTCACCAGCGCCGAGTACCGGGGGACAATCACCTCCCTGCTCCTGCTGGCCACACTATTCCTGATACAAGCCAGGATGCTGTTGGCCTTCTTGGCCTCTTGGGCACACCGCTGCCTCATGTTCAGCCACCTGTCAATGAGCACCCCCAGGTCCTTTTTGGCCAGGCAGCTTTCCAGCCACTCTTCCCCCAGCCTGTAGTGTTGCATGGGGTTGTTGTGACCCAAGTGCAGGACCTGGCACTTGGCCTTGTTGAACCTCATACAGCTGGCCTCGGCCCATCGATCCAGCCTGTCCAGGTCCCTCTGCAGGGCCATCCTACCCTCGAGCAGATCGACACTCCCACCCAGTTTGGTGTCATCTGCAAACTTACTGAGGGTGCACTCAATCCCCTCATCCAGATCGTTGATAAAGACATTAAACAAGACTGGCCCCGAAACAGAGCCCTGGGGAACACTGCTCATGACTGGCTGCCAACTGGACTTAACTCCATTCACCACTACTCTCTGGGCTCGGCCACCCACCCAGTTTTTTCCCCAGTGAAGAGTACACCTGCCTAGGCCATGAGCTGCCAGCTTCCTTAGGGGAATGCTGTGGGAGACAGTGTCAAAGGCTTTACTGAAGTCCAGGTAGATGACATCCACAGCCTTTCATTGAGCAGCTCACAGCCTCCGTTGAGCAGGTCACTAGGTCATAGAAGGAGATCAGGTTGGTCAAGCAGGACCTGCCTTTCATGAACCCATGCTGGCTGGGTCTGATCCCCTGGTTGACCTGCACATGCCTGTTGAGCGTACTCAAGATGAAAGTCGTACACTATGTGCAGAATATGTCCTTGTGTGACTGCTTTGCTGACCTAGGATTTTCTTTTTTCTTTTTGAAAGAAATGGGGCAGACAGCACCTTGTAGTACTAGCTAGTGTTTTTAGTATTACTTTTTAAATAATCTAGGTGGCATTGTGTTTTGAAGAATGATTTAATTTTAATATGTTTTCAAGAGTTACAGCTAAAACCTCCAAAAAAGTAGGTCAGTTGCCTTTGATTTAAATAAAATAAACACTGTGAAACATCTCTAAGTGATGTGCAGTTTCTCTTGCTGTATAATACCTTGTCACTGGTGATAATAGTAAAGATAGTATTTTAAGGCTGAAAGCAAGGTTGGTTGTTTAAGTGTAGTGGTGTTTGTGGGGTTTTTTTTGTTTGTTTTTTGGTTTTTTTTTTTAAAGGGCCCCAACTTTTTATGTTACACTGGGTAGAAAATGAAGGGTTGTGTGCGGAATAGGCCATGAGCATGTATATGCTGAAACTTGGCAAGACACAAATTGAAGTTACTATTACTTTATTTTGTGATTTACTAGTTCCTTGAGTTTTGTGTGGAAATATATTCTGCTTTTTCATGTTTTTAATATTTTAATTGGTAAATTAAGACTGATTTGTAAATTCAAGTCAGCATGCGTGGAGATTAATTGTCACTTCTCAGACTCAGCTTTGTATTGTCAATGACTGAAGTTCCCGGTTTTTTATGTATACTGTGTCTGATATGATTGTGTAACCAGGGTGGTATACACTCTTGTGCTAATTACCTAATCTCTCTGTAAATTTTCCCCTCTACAAAATAAGCATAACTCATTCCCTTGCCAGGGTATTGTGAAGGTTTGTCACTTGTGTGACTTGCTACTTAATGTCTTCTGTTTTCAAACAATCTTGAAGAAAACATCAGGCTCTAATGAAACAAGAAATGGAAACTATTTTATTGAGGCAGAAGCAACTGGAGGAAACGAATCATCAGTTAAGGGAGAGGGCTGGAGATATCCGTCGTAGCTTGCGAGACTTGGAATTAACAGATGATTGCTATGAGAAGCTAAAGTCTCTTCCTGACGATCAGCTTTCTATCCCTGAATACGTTTCTGTGAGTATTGTGTTTTGTATTGGTTTAAAATATAGCTCTGTCCTGGGTCTGGTTGGGGTGGCGTTAACTTTCTTCATAGCAGCGTGAATCTTGCTGTGTTTTGGATTGGTGGCTAAAACAGTGTTGGTAACACACCAGTGTTTTGGCTGTTGCTGGACAGTGCTTGTGCAGCATCAAGGCTTTCTCTTTTCCATACTGCCTCCCCCATCCCCCATGAGCAGGCTAGGGGTGGTCATGAGATTGAGAGGGGACACAGCTGGACAGCTGACCCAAATTGCCCAAAGGAATATTCCATACCATCTAATGTCATGCTCAGCAATATAAACTGGAGGTGGAGGAAGAATGAGGCGGGGGGGGGGGGGGGGGGGTGGCTTCCAAGGTTGTTATTGCTCAGAAGCTGGCTGAGCATCGGTCCACTTGTGGGAGGTGGTGAGTGATTGTTTTTGCATGGCTTTTTTTTTTTTTTTTTTTAAATTCATCTCTCTTTCCTTCACTAATTAAACTGTTGAGAAAGCTGGACACCTGAGTTTTCTTGCTTTTGTTCTTCCCGCTCTCCTCTGTCCTGCTCCTACGGGAGGCAGCAAGTGAGTGAGCGGCCGTATGGGTGCTTGGCTGCTGGCCAGGGTCAACCCACCACAAGCTGTAAATTACTTTTATTTACAATTAGAGGGATGTGCATATAGTAGAAGCCAGTCTATACTCCTAGAATTTGTATTCTTCCCGAGCTAGAAATGAAAGACCTTCAGAAGTATCTGTATTTCTGGTCAGTCCATTTTGACTGGATTCCACTAAAGAGGACTTTATAATCCTAGACTCCGATGTCTTAAAGAGAGAACTGCTGATGTCTTTTAAGAGGGTGAAGCAAATGGGGTGTTGCAATTAGATGGTGGGCACGCATTGATTATATGAAATACAGCAGGCTGAAAATAGGAATTTGAAACTCAGCTTGCCAGAACCACAAGTTGAGGTGGCTCTAGCAAACATCCCTTACCTTTACTTCATGCTTTCCATCTGGCCCTTTCCTATCTGACTAAATGGAGGAGATAGTACACTTTAAGACTCATTTTCTTGATTTAAGAAGTTTGTTAATTATGGCTTATGGGTAGATGGAGGGGCAGGGGGGTACTCTGCTTGCAATAAAAAGACAATGCCTTCACAGACCGTGGGACATGTCCAGAGCATCCTGGCTCACTTCTGAGAATGAAGAGGATTTAGACATGTAAACCTTAATTCACCAAAGTATTAGCATTGTACGTACTTATAGAGCTAGTTATTAAGGAAGCTGTAAATAATATAACGTTAAAAAGTTTAGTGCATTTGTTGAGGTATAAATGCTGGGTGAATGAGTTCTCTTGCTGGGTGAAAGTCATGGTATACTGTGCTCTAGATACATACAGAGAAGTAGAAGTTGTCATCCTTATCTAAAGGATGTTCATAGAATCATAGAACGGTTTGGGTTGGAAGGGACCTTTAAAGGTCATCTAGTCCAATCCCCCTGCAATGGACAAGGACATCTTCAACTAGATCAGGTTGCTCAGAGCCCTATCCAAACTGACCTTGAATGCTTCCAGGGATGGGGCGTCTACCACCTCACTAAGCAACCCATTCCAGTGTTTCACCACCCTCATCATAAAAAATTTCTTCCTTATATCTAGTCTGAATCTACCCTCTTTTAGTTTAAAACTATTACCCCTTGTCCTGTCACAATAGGCCCTGCTAAAAAGTCTGCCCCCATCTTTCTTATAAGCCCCTTTTAAGTACTGAAAGGCTGCAGTAAGGTCTCCTCGCAGCCTTCCCTTCTCCAGGCTGAGAAACAACAACTCCCTCAGCCTTTCTTCATAGGAGAGGTGCTCCATCCCTCTGATGATTTTTGTGGCCCTCCTCTGGACCCTCTCCAACAGGCCCATGCCTTCCTTGCACTAAGGGCTCCAAAGCTCAATGCTGTACGCTAGGTGAGGTCTCACCAGAGCAGAGCAGAGGGGCAGAATCACCTCCCTCGACCTGCTGGCCACGCTTCTTTTGCTGAAGCCCAGGATACGGTTGGCTTTCTGGGCTGCACGCACACAATGCTGGCT